AGTCATGCTCAACCATCTTACTATTATTACTTTCTAAGTTCTGTTCTCTTAGCTATTAGTAAATGTAGTAAATAAAATGACATATTTAGAAAGATGCACACTCAGAGATTAGTACAGAAAAAAGGTACTGGTGGGATTTGAAGTTACTTCCCAATTAATCAAATGCCTTCTGTCTTTTGTACTTACCTCCATGTAAAGATGAAGCTATTTAAGGATCTGTTGAGTAGCTAAAGCAACTGTGAAATAAAAAAGAACTTCTGGGCTAAAGAATCTGAAAACTGTATCACAAATACTCACCATGTTATTTAGTTAGTGGGTTTATATTGCACAATTTAGATTAGTTACAGTAAATTAGGTAATTTTACCACGGTATGGATTTCTTTCTTTGTCATTTGCGTCTACCCTAGAATCACCAAGAGATCGTGAGTAAATGAGGTGTACGTCTCTGGGGACGTCGTTTAGCATTAACGCACATTTCAAAGGACACCAGAAGATAAGAATTACTTTGGGAATTTCTTTCTAAAAAATGGATTAAAAAACTCAACGATGAGTCAGAACTGTGATTACGTCTGTACTTGACTAGGGCTGTAAACCCCAAACCCAGCTGGCTATTCTGCGAGGCATGGATAGACCTTTCCTCTCCCTTCTGAGATAGTGTTCAGGTGTACAAAGGAGAGATACTGAAAGTTCCTGTTCTTAATTATAGTGATAGGAATTTAGATTTCATATGAAATCTTGTACTTCTGTGTTCACTCCCTTTTTAAGAAAACGTATTAAATTTCAGAATCAAAGGAAAATCCGCATGAGTGCAAGTGCTCATGTAGCAAGTGCTGTGATTTCCGTGGCCTCATCTCCTCCGTAAAATAAATGTCAGAAAATGAGTGGTGTTGTTTTGGTTCTTAGCAGCAGGAGACTTTTCTCAAATGAAACTGTACACAGGACCTCAGAACAGTAGGACTTCTGGGTTTAGGTGGGGAGCCTCGTTCAGCCCTACGTTCTTGGCCATGGCCTTCACCTCCAGGCTTCCTCTTGCCCTGTCCTGGTTGTTCTGGAATTGACAACTCCGTGCTTAGTCCCCCAGGTCCCTGTGCTTAGGGCAGTGGTTCGGGGAGAATCAGCTAAGGTCTGTGGCAACAATGTTGTTTTTGAAAGGAGGTACTTCATTTATCTAGGCCGCTGCTGTTCTGGTGGTCTTCAGACGGTATGTTACTGGTCCATGAGGAGATAAGTACAGATTGAGAGTAAGTGTTTAGAAATGTTAACAGTGATTCAATAATTCCATGATATCCAAGCACATGATCAGTAGATTTATCTTGCTGAACAGAATGTAGACCAAAAGTATTGGTGTGTAATAGATTGGAAATTAAGAAAAAGGAAAAAAAATTACAAATAGTTGGAAAAGCACTGTTCATGAATATTATCTTACATAGAACTCTTAATTTCCCTCCTAGAGAATGAATAGGGGCCAAGAGGATTACCAATGTTGATGAGCTCTGAAAGGAGGTGACATGGTGTGGTATGAGTCTGAGAGCATGGATAGGTTGCAGGGGTTCATCAGAGGAGCCCTGGCTGAGGAGCAGTTATCTGTGCTGATACCTGAATGACACCAAGGAGCCATCCTGAGGATTGAGAGGGAACCAGATGCCCAGGTGCCAAGAGTTTCTGCAGGAATGAGGCTGGCATGTTCATGGGCGAGGGAGAAAGCCAGCATGGCAGAAATGGAGTGGGCCAGGGAGAGGAGACAAGAGCTGAGCGAAGCACTCACCGAAGTGGTGGAGAGGTGAGGCAGAGGAAAGGCCTAGACGGGGTCGCTGCCGGCTACTGCCGCAGCCTCTGCTCAGTGAAAATTCTCGAATCCTGTCACCCACAGCTCTTCCCTAGGGTTGGTGATGGCAGTGGATGACATGACCGCTCCCCCCAGAGCCTCGCTCATCCCTTAGGGCTGTCATGTGTCCCCGTATTTGGCTCCCGTGCTCTTTCTCTTCCACTAACCATTCCTGTGTCTCTTTCTTTTGGAGAACTCTCCCTGAACTACTGGAGGCACTTTGCCCCAGCAAGGAGTGCTTGGAGGGTAGGACCTCCCTCAGGGCCCTCCTCCAGTGACTGAAGGACACAGGCGTAAGAAAGCCTGTCCCCTCCCCTCAGGCCTAGACAGCTCTGCGCTCCAGAGCGCCCCTTGGTGGTGCCAGACTGAAGCTCCCGACTGGAGAGCTCTTGCTGCAGACAGCACGCTGGTGTGACCTCTCTGGGGAACATTTCCTCAAGAAAGTTCTGCGTCTGAGCAACTTGGCTTAGATATGACCTGCCTTAGCCCCGCACCGCTTGCCCCATGCTCACCCTCCCATTTTGGATTTTAGGCATTGGTATAGTGTAATCATTTTTGTTAATTTAAATGGGGTCAGATGAAATATTTTAGAGCATTTCCAATGTCACAAAGTTTTTTTTGGAAAAAAAAAACTTTCCACAGTCATCTGGTGGAAAGGATTTTGTTTTTTTATCCTAAAGGCAGTTGTCTGTTCCTCCTGATTCTCGTGAATCTACTTACTGCTTAATGAAGTGAAACATTTCCAGAGAGTTATCCATTTTCACTTTTCCAGCTCACAGAGTAGACACTAAATCCTTAACTGATAAAACCATTAGATGATTATTTCCTGTTCACATAATGGGTCAATAAAATTACGTAGACTAAACAAGGGAATGAGACCAGGGTGTTAGCAGGGTTTGATTGTGGTAAATATGATCTCCTTCGAGAAGAAGCCTGAGCATTTCCACACATGTTCATGTGCTAATCCTGTGGCTTTTATTTCCTGTTTCTGAAACAGTCTGCAGCTATGATTTGAGCAGGCATTTGAAGTGAACAGCCCCATGTGTCTGTGGAATTTTCCATCTTTCCTTCAGGGAAAAGTAAAATTCGATTCTATTCATTTTTACTAGATTTCCGTTTATTTTAGAACTTGTGGGGCATTTTAATATCTCTCTATAAAAAGCACTTGGATCTTATGCTTCTAAAAATTCTTTACAGATCATCTATTCTTCCTCTCTCCCTCCCTCCTTCCCTTCCTTCTTTCTCTTAGACTCAAGCAGATGCTAAGTCAATTCTCTATCTGAATACCTCACAAAATATATTTTAAAGTTCCTAAGTGGGTGTTTTCTTTGCTTGGGTTGAATCGCATACCTGTGGTAGACCTTTTACCGTTAGCAGTTTTCAGCCTGAGGTTGGACTTCTCAAATGTTCAAAAAATGTTTGTTGAATGAATGACTCTATGGTATGATGTCCTAGGCACCATCCTAAAATAATAATATTGTGCTTTTCTTGGTGTATGTCTGTGATGAGAACCTTGGTCCCCCACTCTTAATTCCAGCTCAAGTCTTTGTCACAAATATGACAAATGTATTGGGAAAATCACTTAAAAATCTTAGCTACACTGTCTTTGTACATTTCACAAAATTAAATATCTTTAGATTCTGTTGCCATAAAGCACCCATTGGCACATTCCTTTTGCCTGTAAATGTCTCTGAATCACTTGGATTTTTGACCATCGATTTCATGAAACACTGAAGCACAGGATTATAAGACAATAATGAGTGCTTTTCCATGACTGAAAAATACACTGAAGTCAAGCTGTGTCACTGAAACACAGTTCAAAAATTTTACATCCATTCAAGTTAAAACAATAGTATATTTAAGTCTGTATTTGCATGTAATTGGAAGTATGGGTATCTTAGACTTTATTTCTATTCTGGAAACTAAAACAATTGAATCAGAAACTGATTAAGGAAAAAAGGGCAAACAAATAAATTGTTCTCTGTTCCTGGGTTGAACTCATACTTACCTTTTGAGTGGGAATGGGAAATAGAATTAAAATTTATCCTAAGAAGTATGATTGTGATGACTACAAAGCTTCACTCAGAAGATTGAAATGCCTTTTGGGTTGTATTCCCAGGCTGACCAGCCTCACTACCCAGATTGGTAAAAAATGAAACCCAACTGAATACATTTTAAAGGTCTTACTGGCTTTACTCAGCACTTCATGAATCAGGCAGCATCCATTCTGGCAGATAGAAAGGAGCTCTGAGGAGCTGTACAAATGAAAGACTTACAGGCAGAGTGAGCAGGAACAATCAAGTATTTAGTCAAACAACAGATTGCTTATTGCAAGGTCCCTCTCCTCTAGGGGATGGCAGGCAGTTTACCAGGCAGTTACCTAGTTGAGTGCTGCTCAGCCAATTCCTGATTGGCTAGTTTAAGTTTCCATTTCTGGGATAGCTAAACTGTAAGTTCAGTTTGGTGACCTGAGGCTTAGCATAAGTAGCTCCATTTGGGCCCTGTTGTCCTGTTTTGAACGAGTTGGTTGAATGAATTCAGAAGCAGTTCAAGACTGCCCCAATTCTTGCTGAAGAGCTTCCGAGTGGAGTTGACCCACATGGGGAATCAGGCAGCACCTTGAGAGCTTTAGGAATTCTGAAAATCCAGTGCCATTTCGTGTGTTGCCCTTCACACTGTAAGGCTTGTTTGCAAGTAGGCAGCCTTTCTCTGGGACTCCTAGGGTCACAACCCATGACGAAGAAACCCCCGAGCTAGCAGCACGCAGTTAAGGACAGGTACTTGTCGAGAAAGACAAGTCAGCATAAGAGCATCAGTTGGGCTTCAGGCCTTTGCTTATTGCTGTATATTTTGGAAACCCAAAGTGGGGGCAGAAGAATACTTCTTGTGGCAATGGGTCAGAATACTTGAAATCAAGGATCAATGAGAATTTAAAGGTCAGGGGCTAGCTACTAGGATTAGAACCTATGTCCTAAATGTATCCAATGTTGCAACTAAAAGGCCTGTGACTGATAGTCATGGCTGTTCATATTAACACTTTATGATTGTATTAGAAACAGATGTTAGTGTTTGTATATTTAAGTAAATGTGATAAAGAGAATGTTGTTGCGTTAACTGAGCATATTTTGGACCGCACATCCCAACTCAAGTTTTTCCCTCTGGTTTACTTTGAAAGGAGTGCAATGTTAATTCTGGGGCATTGATGTTTTACAATGCCTGATCAAGACAAAAAGGTGAAGACCACAGAAAAATCAACTGAGAAAAGACAACAAGGAATCACCATCAGGTAACCCCACACTGACTCTTTGCAAATCATTAACTCAAGCGGCGGCCAGGAACCAGATTTAATGGCTTTTTGAGACATAGAGCAGACCCTTGACAACTGCTGCTCTGGGTTACAGTGTTGTGGAAATGCTTGGTTATTTCTAGAGTTCTAAAGGAAATGTTTAGTGTACAGACATTTCAGTCTATAAAAGCAGGTCTTTGAGGCAGTGCCATCAGCAGGGAACATGACCATTGGTTGACGCTGTTTTATCCTTCCTCCTAGGGACTACTCAGATCTGAAGAGACTTCGGTGCCTTTTGAATGTTCAATCAAGCAAACAACAGGTAGTGTTTTCCGAGAATGTACATGTATTAAGAGAGAGAAGTCACATGCTTCCAAAGGGATCCCTGTTACATCTTTATGAATGATGAGACTATTTTCCTCTGTTCTTTCACACATTTGGTTATTTATCATCCAACTGTTTCTTTCATACCTCGTTCAGGTTCAGCTTTATCCTATGCTTGTTGCCATGTGTCCTCACTACCAGAGCTCTTCCATCTAGAAACCTGCTATTGAATGCCTGACATTCAACTCTTCAGAGCTTGAGGGAAATGGATTTTTTTTAAAACACTGTTTACACACTGCCGCCTTCTCTTCTCCAGCCCTCCTCACACCGTCTGCTGTAGTACCATTCCTAAGGCTTGCTGCAAATTGTATCTCACCAAAAAGAGGGGAGAGGAGTGAGTTTTGGCAGTTTTCATGATAGTAGTTTTACATTTTTATTAGAGAAGGAAGGGTTCCTCTACTTGAATTCGTCTCTAAACTTTTGTTTTTGGTTTTGCTCCATGGAAGACTTTAGAAAGTCATGAGATTAGAAGCCACTTACGGAGATTTGGGGAACAACATCCAATGCTAATAATATTGGTAACAGCTAACACTTACTTAACATTGCCTACTAGTAAATGAGGGGGGTGGGGCTTGAACCCTGGTGGCCTGGCTCCAAAATCTACTATGTTATGCTTGTTTAAGTAAATTTGTTTATAAGTTCATGTGGTGGTAATCCTGATGACTTTTGCTATAACGGCCAAATTTACCAGAGAACTATGGCATTTTTATCTATCTATTTACAGTGGAGAATGACTTTCTAATGATTTGATGGAATCAAATAAAGGCCAAATAATGGTAATTCATAGTTAGGGAATACTTACTGTGTGCCTGATGCTTTATCTGCATCACCCTTCTTATTCACCACAACTCCCACTTTTACAAATTAGGAAACTGAGGCACAGAGAAGTTAAGTGACTTTCCCAAGATAATGCAGCCAGTTAACAGTGGAATACAGCTCTGAACCCTAACACTCCGTCTTTGTAATGCATGCTTCCAGCCACTGAGGTGTCTTTTAAATGGCTTGGGAAATTTAATTCCAGTTCAAAAGATAGTTGGATGAGCACTGATGCAGAATAAACATGGCTTTAAAATCCCTTTTCTCCTCTTTGTCCCTTCATCACGGTGTGAATGCGACAGCCCCCCCAGGAACTCTTTCCTATTAACGCACTTATTTCCGCAATCATTCTTGCTCTTTGTCTATTTCTACACACTCCTCCTTGCTCACTGTTCACACGCCTTCATGGATGATTGCCACAAATCATGTTCACCCTTTCTTAGGAAGGTGAGCAAGGTGACTCAGCAAGCTGTTTTGCTTGGAGTTCCCATTCTTCCTCATGGTATGTCCTAAGATGGAACCATAATGCCAAAGAGCTCTACTCTTTGCTTTTACGATTCCCACCTCCCAAATGTGTCCTTCTCCAGAGTGTCTTTCCTCTACTGTCATACCTATTCCTCAGACCCAAATCTAATGATATTACTTCCACAAGAAAGTTGTCCTTTCTTGTCCATTCTAGAAGTGCTCTCTCTTCCCAAAGAAGCTTGTCATTGTGGTAGCATTGCTTTCTTCCCTATTTTGGAAACAATTATCTATATGTCTTTTCTGACAAGTTTATATTAATTTCTCAATGCCTGCAGCTTTGACTTTGGCCTTTGGTTCCCTGTACCCATTATTTGGTGAGTTCTTAGGTTTTGCCAAATAGAACTGTGACTTAAGAATTTGGTTACCCTGTGAGTATGTAGAACTTCCCCTGACCAGAGTGAGAGAAGCACCATTGGTGTTCTTTGGGGTCACTCTAATTTTCTAACTTTGAAGCTCATGCTGACTAGATAGATCTGTTGTGTCCCCTTTCAACACCTCTTCCTTGTTAACACCTGGCAGGCTTAATTAAAGTGAATTTAATAGTTTCCCCTCCTTTGACCAATTTTAGAATTTGCAATCTGTTGTCTGACAAGTTCAAATGATGTATCTTTTTGTAACTATTTTACATGTACAAAAATCCGTATTTGTGAAGCTTGAATTATTCCAAAAGTAAATGACTCTAAGAAAAAATGAAACTGTCCTCAATGATACAAAGGTCCTGAGGTTCAAAAAATTCATTCCTAATTCTGTTTATAAAACTTCCATGCATTTATAACTTTGAGATAATACATGCTATTCTGAACATCCTATTCTCCTTTCAGTAACATAGTGTGGAGACATTTATACGAGAAGAAAGATATTGGAGAGAGTAAGTTAAGCATTTATTTATACCTAACTTGTTCTGGAGAGAATGTAAGGAGACTTACAAAGATACATAAAGTATGATAGGTTATCATAAATTAAAACCAGGACCAAAGAAAAAATAAAAACAAGTGTTGGGAATAAAGTAGAGTCAGGCAGAAATATCCATCAAAATATGCAAGTGGGCCACACATTTGGCTGTGAGACTTTTAGCAGTCAATTTGAAAAGGGAAATCTGAGATTAGGCCCACTCACCTGAATCTCTGTTCTAACAAGGCCTGGCCTATGATTTGCAAATGGACCTAGATGGCCAATTAATTGGTTGCAGAGGAAATTTACTTTGCAGTTTTAGGCAGATTGCAAAGAACTGAATGTTCTTTATCTGAATCTCTAATGAGCCAAACACTCCCCTCATTGTCTTGATGCACCATGTGTCCTAATTTCCTTCTTTGTCCTGTTTGCGCTCTGTATCCCTGTGTGTCCCGCATTACCACGTTAGAGTCTGCTGACCTGTAGGACAGTCCCACAGTCTGGCAGAGCTGGGGACGAGACACACTGAGGCAGGGGACCCACTTCATCACCAGGATCAAAGTAAACATAACACAGTAAAACCACTTAATTGAAGAAGAAGAACCTCAGGGCTGTTAAAGCAAAATGAAATTACAAAGTTGGCTGGAGATTTCACCAGAGCTTTTCACAAATCCTGAAGTAATCTGCCTAGAGCTAGAATTCAGATATTTTCCTCTACATTTAGAGACACATTCTAAAAAAGAAGAGATTAATTAAGAAAAAGTTAATTCATTACAGGCCAATTAATTACTTTGAAGTAAAAGTGTTTTTAATAGATGCTGTGGAAAGAAAAAGTATAAGGCTTGGTTCCTATGTTCTGGGAGACCAGGTGTAAGAAGGACAGATACAGCGTGTGACAAGGGAGGTCATGGATCCTGGGCATGTGGTACAGACAGTGTGAATATGGATTTTGATGAGGATGAGGAGGCCACTTTAAGTTCAAGTCACAGGGAAGAAGATGGATTTCTTTCAGTGGAATTGATGGGAAAGGCATTCTAAGTGAGGTGAGTAAAATAATCAAATGTGTGAAGGGAAGGAAATGACCAGCATTTAAGTAAAATGGTAACTAGACATCCCCATTGGAAGCAGGAGAAATAAAGCTGGGAGAAACTGCACAGTGTTGGAAGGCCCTTCTATAAAGTTGTATTTGATCCCATAAGCAATGGAACATTGACAGCCCCAAGCACAAATCATGTGATCGGATCTTTGGAAGGCCCTTTGCTTCAGCCACCAGCCTCTGGCCTTTCTACTCATATTATTCAAGCCTGCTCAGGCAACTTACGGTTTCTGGAGCACATAGTTTTTCTCTGCCTACAGCCTGTGTAGAAAACTGCCTGGCCTCCTCTGGAGTTCGCCTGGCAGCCTAGTCCATGGCCTTCCCTGTCCCTCCTTGACTTTGTATCATAGCACACACGCTTGTTCACTCACTTTGCAACATGTTCTCCTGCTAGTCCTCCAGCACCCCCACCCCACCTGACCCTGTGGGACTGTAAACTCCTTGAAGGCAGAGGCCTAGGCTGTTGCACTTACTCACTCACCCAGTGTCTCACCACATGTCTGGCAAATGATGTATGTGCAATAAATGTTGAATGGATAAACTCATGCAGAGGTCGTGAGCCAGATGAATCAGCAAGGAGATGGGCACAGAGTGAGTGCTCATTCAACAGCTTCACATTTAAATGCCCACTGTGTGCCAGGCTCTGTGAGAGGTGCTGAGAACACAAAGATGCTGTCCTCAGAGTGGCCAGATTCATGGGGAAAGGGGTGATGTGTAAACTAGACATGGTACGAGAACATGGTAAGGCCTGTAGGAGAGATTAGCACAGTGATGTCACCAGGGAGGGTGTGAGCAGCTCTACTGGGAGGCCAGGAGGCTGTTGGAGCTGAGCCCGGAACCAGATCAGATGCTGCGGCCTGTGACACACACCCTGGCCTGCGGTGGTCAAGCACTCTGGTGGTTTCTGGGACAGGTGACAAGTTTAATGCAGCCAGAACATGGGGTACAGTTTTATTCATTTATTTCTTTTTATCACATGGACTTGTGGATTCTTATTTTATTCTATGGCAGATTTGTTACTAAATACTGCATAACCCATCATTCCTTGTGGTTTGAAGCAACGATAGCTTATTGTCGTTCACACTCGCCCCCCTGCCCCCCTGCCCCCCGATTCTGTGGGTCATGGCTTCCCAGCAGCTTGCCTGGATGGTTCTGGGTCAGGTCCCTGATGGGGTTGCTGTTAGGGGGTCAGCTAGGCTGGGGTCCTCTCAGCACCAGCTGGGGCTGAGGGGCCACTTCCAAGGTGGCTCACTCACCTGGCTGGCAAGATGTGCTGTTTGCTGGTGGGAGGCCTGTTCACATGCTTGTCTGTCCTCACAGCATGGAGTCTGGGAGTTCCTCCAAAACTAGTCACCTCACATGTTTACAGAAATAGTTTACTCCTTTCAAATATTGGGAAAGGAGATGATGGTGAGACTAGAAGACAGGGACAGAACACAGAAGAAGATTTTCATCTCGGTGTGAAGAAAACCTGGGGCAGGAGTAGAACCTACAAAGCAAGTGGGCTGCTCAAGACTGTGTGCTTCTCATCATCGCAGCTGCGTAAAGAGATGCTGGGGGTACAGAGAGTGCTGGGGACCTGGGAGACTGTCTGGATGGGAATCACAACTCTGCCCCTTGCTAGCAGTGACCTTAGGCAAGTCACTTAGCCCCTCTGTGCCTCAGTTTTCTCATCCATAAGATGGTATTTCCTCATTTGGTCATTATAAGGATTAACTACATTTAATGTCTGCATGTGCCTGGCTTGTGGTAAGCACCACATAAATACAAGTGTCATCTATTATGATGGTAATAATGATGTTGAATGAAAGTTGGATCCTATGCCTTTTGAGGACGTTTTCAACCAGGAGCATCTGTAAGTCCATCCCTTGTGGGAAAAGGCCCACTTTAAAATTATCTATGTGAATTTGTGTTTTGCTACATTAATTATGTCTGAAATTTTGGATTCTTGGTTGCCCCAGACAATCTGTCAGATCCAATGTACCTTAACAGAAGTAATGGCTTAATATGACAGAAACCAGCAAGGGCGCTGCTCACTGGTTCTTCCACTCTGGATACCCTGACCGACTATAGCAGGTGGTGAGTGGTGTCATACAGATTTTATTGTAGGAAGTATACACAGAGGGTTTGAGGACTTGGGGAGCCAAGAGAAAAGGCTCCAAGTTGGGAGCTTGGTTCTGAATTCACATTGCTTTTGTCTGAAGAGGGCTGGTTGTTTCCAGGTTCCTAATGTTAAGGTCCAGGTCTTTGCAAAATGCCAAGTCTATCTTACCGTCTGATTCTCTGTGAGTTGATTTCTGATACCGGCTGCCTGCTCTGTTGGCCAAGAGGATGGCTGCAAATTGCTGTCGTTTTCCACCCCTTCAGCTGGAGTGGACTGGGCTTGTTTCCTCTGTGCTGACTACTTTTTCTCTTGTGATCTGTTTTCTGGGAATTGTGGGGAAGGCAGGGGGTTTGAACACCTTGGGCCTGGAAAATCTACTTCCTGTTTGCTGTATCATGACATTTCCTGTGTAATGTGGAAATTTGCATATTGCTGTGACTTTATATCCAGTATCATTTGGATTATCACATCCACAAGTCATCTAATTTCTAAGGACAAATTTCAGTTATTTAGCAAGCTCATCTGTACCCTGCGAATGATTATGAGGATTAAAAGAGTATTTATAAAGCACTTAGAACCATGCCTGGTGCATAGCAAGTGCTTTATAAATACTGACTCATTTTGTTTTCATAATAATGCTGAGCTACATGCTATTATGATTAGTTGCATTTTAATGATGTGGAAACTGATGCATAGGGAGATTAAGTAATTTACGGCTACCTAATGGTAGTTTTACACCCAGGGCATCTGACCTAGAGTCTGTTCTCTGAACCGCTAAGCATTATTGCCTCGAGTGCCCCAGCCTGTCATCTTGGGGTTGTGTGGATTGGCCCACAGAACTGAGATAGAAAGGTAGTTCTACAGAATGGAAGATTTATTATTAATATTTTGAGAATTCAACTGTGGCTAGCATACAGTAAAGAAGAATTTTTTTTTTTTGCTAGCTATTAAGCAGTGTCCTTATTTATAATGTATCTTCCTATAAGTTGACTGCCTTATGGGAAGTCAGACATTCTGTTTGGATAATGAAATGATGCCTTTATGCAGATTTCTTTCTATCAAATACTTCAATTTGATACTTACAGTATCAAATACTGTAAGACAACAAATACAACATACTGTAACTTTACTTGATAATTTTAATACATAGAATGGAATGATTTACTGACAAATGGATCCTTTATTTTGTTATATTATGCTCTACTTACCTCATCCATAATAATTTAGCTAACTATAAAACATCCCTCACTTGTACTTTGGAAAGAATATGGTATTTGCACTATGCTCAGCTTCACTATCATGAGAAATGATTCTCAGTTACCCAGTTACAAGTAAATAGTGGTAAATGAAACTGTTTAATACTGATAACTTGACAATTTACTATATAACTAATTACCAGTCCATATTGTGAATGGGGGCAGATTCAAAGTTGTAGTTAATTTAGGCAAATTTATACTTTTCTTATGGGAATTCTATAATATATTTTCATGACTTTCATAACTATGATGGAGTAATCAGGGTGTTCAGACAGATTAAAAGTGATACAGTCTTCTCAACCTTTATATCCCTAACCCCTGGAAAGTAGTGTGTATGACTGGTAAGTGTTGAAGAATGAATAAATGGTGGCTAATTCTCCGTTTGGGGCTCCCCTCTGTTCCAGAGAGCTCTAGCTAGATCTGGAAACTCTGTTCTGGTTGCACCCTTGAGTCTCCTGAGAAGCTTCAAAGTTCCTGATGCCCAGGCCTCCCCCAGACTTGTAAGGCCAGTGCTCTTTGAGGTGCTGGGGGCACAGCATTGAACAGAACCAGGAAGTTCTTGCCCATGTTGCTCTGATATCATAATCAAGGGAGACTAAAAATTCATATATAACTGTAAGATATGACCATTGGTGTTACAAGTTATGAAGAAAAATAAAGCAGCATAAGGTAGAGATAGTAAATGTTTAAGTCAAAGATGTTTAAATCTTGGAAAACCCTTACATTTGACATAGCTATCATTTAACTATTGATTTAGGAAAAACCTCATTCATTCCCTTCATCCTGCTTCCCTCTCCCTACATTCTGTTACTTCTTAATCCTGTGTTGAATTGTTGTCCTCATGGACTCTGCTTCTGTTTTGGTAGCTTCCAGCCATTAACTTCAGTAGTGCCCAAAATAGCATGACAAAATCTGAGCCCGCCAGCAAGATGGGTGGACACAGGTCTCGAGGTCAGTGGCACGAGTCTACAGAAGCTGTTGAACTTGAACATTTCAGGTAAGAAATCCAGTATTTCCCCTGCCTTCAGCAACCTATTCTGATTAGTCCAAAGTTTTATTTATTGTCACAGGAGCAGAAATTTAAAACCGGTTTTAAATTTTACCTGGAAGATTCTTATTCAATAATTTTAGTTAGTGTATAAACCATTTCTGGAAATAGTGTGTAAATAACAGCTTAATGGCTGCAGGTGGATCTGACCTGGGGGTTTCAGCACACCCTGCGGATGAACATTTGGCATTTGCTCCGTGAGGAAGTGGTTCCATGTTATTGACTTGGCTAGGCTGATTCCTAACTTTGTCTTTAGGTTTTCGTTGGTTCATACCTTGCCAGCAATGAGGAGGCATAAAAGAAGCCATTGCTGTGAACAGATGTGGTAGCTGAAGGCTGTGGTTGCCAAACAATGAAGGTTTTAGTTGGAGGGAGCACATCTCACCTTTACAACTGAAACTATCAACCCATGTTTATCTATCTCTCCTGTCCCCTTGTAGGCCTCCTAGAAGCTGAACATTCTCATGGGCCACACCCCTTTCCCAGAGCTGGTTCTGTTTTATAATGTGCTGAGGTCATTTGACACTAAGTGCCATGTAAATAATTAGTGGCATGAAATATCACTATCAATACTCAAGAATTATCATGTGTTTGGTCCACATTTTGTTTCCCTGTCAATTTATGACAATGAATTTAATAGTCCACAAAGCCACATGATGTTATATGGATTCATATTTAGTGAGGAATACTAAATTCTTTAAAAAATTCTTACATATTCAATCTACCCATGTCAATGTACTAAGAAATACAGCCCTCATCTAGTTAGGGTAGGACACACTGTCCAGTAACACTCCAAAGACTACAAAGGCCGAGTAGTACAAACAGCAACCTAAGGCTCTAGAACTTGCCTTTGAGGTGGTGTGTTCATGTAATTCTAGCTTATTTGGCTTAGATCTTAAAATTGGTCTATTTTAACATGCACAAAAGCACCATATCACATATTTTGTAGCTATGTGACCTTTCTGTGCATTAGCTCTAATCCTCTCCCAGGTTTCAGTGGAATGTTTTGGGGGTACATTTAACCTCTTTGATGGGCTGAAAGATCAGAAAAAAGAAGCTGAAACAGATGTCTTAAGACTGCAAATAATGACTGCAAAAACTAGAATATCTCATGACTGCAAAAATTCTTATGGTTGAAGGGGTCCAGACTGTGTTTGACGAATCCCTATTATCAGCAAGGAAATGTGTGTGCAACCACTGATGTTAGTAGCTATAGCAGCCAGTGGGGTCGTGGGTGGGTGGAAGAATGAAGGGAGGAAGTTCTCTGCATATTGGCCAGTTGTCTAGATAATATGCCCCAATCATTCTTTCTCTCCATTATTCTTTCCCTGCCTCTGAACAAGTTTAGCTATAAAGTGTTTATGGAGAATAATTTAGTTAATATGGTGAAATGAAACATATATCCTTGATCTTTGTTTTTAACTTTATAATTGAATTTCTAGTTCCTATTTTAACAATTGATACTTGCCTTTAGCAGTATGTTAAATCCCAAGAATTCTGCAGTTTTTGCATGAATGATGGTATTTGCCTGCCTTGGTAACTTTGAGACAGCCTAAATAATTATTTATTATAAAATGCTTTTCTGTTTGTTTTATCTCAGTATAAACTACAAGAATGAGAGACATTTCAGCACACACCCCCAGCATGAACTCTTTCAGGAGATCTTTACAGCCCTGGTGAAAAACAGACTCATATGCAGGTAAGGTTGAACCAGGAGAGACAGACATTTATCCCAAAATAGCATATTTTATTTATCTTATTTCTAGGATATGGTTTGACATGATTTATAATATTGGACACAACATACTGAAAGGATAAAATAGAGCAAAGGCAATTTAGAAGGAGGTAAATGAACAGGCATTTCGGGTTATCTCATTAAAATCATTCTGGTGAAGTACTGAACTAAGCTGAATTTTAGGGTAGATAAGGTAATGAATGGGAAAATGCTCACATTCCAATTTTCCTTATTTTGAATCTAGATACTCAGGAGCAGTTTATTGCCAGGGTCCTTATGAAGTGGCATTGATAACACCATGGCCAACATCCTCAGGGTACGGGTTTGCAATCAGTGCAACGACCAATTAGTTGAGCTGCCCCAGCCTGGACTTTGGGAAAGAATGATTGTGTAGCATTTATCTCTGTGATGACATTTCTTCCCAGGACCACATCAAACATTCTTTCCATTGATCTCCTTTGTCCTAATACAGGTGCCGTGTTGGGACCATAGAGAAGGATTAGTTAGCAAGTTGTGTAGATTCTCTCTTGTAAACACCAAGGGCCTTCAGTGAGCAATTGAGTGGTGCTGGATTGCAGTCAGGATTGGATTTTCTCTCCATTCTGAGCCACTTAAGCCAAGAGCTGGCTATGCTGTTACCAGGTATGAAGGAGGCTGCAGACATTTTGTCATGGTAGGACCTTGCCTCCTCCCTTCCCAGGAGCCCCAGGCTCTCTTCCCACAGGCATTGGCTGAAAAAATGCCTATCAAGGACCTTGAATCCTCCGCATCACTTTGAGACTTAATCAAGATATCTAAATTCTATGCCAGTGAGATGGTAAAAAATTATTCCTTTTCTGTAAAATAGGAGAATTGTTCATGATTTAATGTCTTGACTGAAATAAAACTCTGACTTGGTCCAGTGCAGTGGCTGGCTTTAAGTAGAATAGCATCCTGATGGGTCCTCTGTGATGAATCAGCTACTAAATATACCCAAGTATATTTGATATCTTCAATATATTGACAGCCTAATGATTTGATTTTTTCGATGGAGTTATTTAGTATTACGTGTTTAAGTACTGGACAGTGACAGCTAAGCACATTTGTTTAGTTTAAAGCAACCCTGGACTGGGACTGCATCTTTGTACTTGGCTTCAGCAGAGGATTATTTTACTGGTTCAGATGACACAAGAAGCCTGAGATATTTTCCATGGTTATGTAATTGAGTCCCTGCTCAGTTCTTTACAGTATGCTTGAAGATTATTGTAAGATTCATGAACACTGCAAAGGACATGAAATTATCCTGTACTGTTTTCTTCTTGAGCTTGAACAGAGTAGAACAATGGTTAGTAGCAGAATAATTATGCTTGAAATGACAGTAGGAAATGAAGTCCTTTGTTTTGAAGACAGCTTGTCATAGACTTTTTTTTTTTCACCGCTCATGGACTCTTGAAATGGTGTTCAATAGGCCATTTTTTGGTTCGGTGCTGTAAGGGAGGTACAACACTTCCTGTATTACAGAAGTGAGAGGACTGCACTGTGTCCCCACTCTGAAGGCCCTAGATGCAGAATTTGTCAGGGAAGATAAATGGGCAAGGATTGGCATCCATCAGTCGGAAAGATCTGAACAGTTCTGAAGTCAAGAACTCTCGTCAGGGCCTTTTCAAATTCTTAGTGATTAATGAAGCAGCTTAGATTGGATAGGGTATTTGCTTACAATATGAGCAATCCCTGGAAATCTTTGATCTAGGAAGAGATGACTACACATATCTTTGTTTTCATGGCACAAGAAGGAATGTAGGAATGTTGAGCATCAAGAGCATCCTTTTATGTCATCCTTTGGCTGCTGACAGATTGTTATGTTCAGTTCTATTCTAAAAGCTGGATCGGGTAAAACATGGCTTAACTGTAAAGGTCTGCCATTGTTTCTCATCCCATATAACCTTGCTAAAATGATCAGAACTACCTTTATTTTTTTTTCTTTTCCCTCTAACTTTAGGCTTATAGAAGAATTGCATCTCAGGACCTTTCTGGCTTAGCTTCTTATCCCCTTTCTTTGCAAACATCAGATTTAATGTTTGGAAGGCTTGGATTCAATTCAATAAATAGATTTTTGAACATCTGCTTTGGTCAAGGAAGAGAGGGAGAAAATGGTGGAGATGGAAGAGAGGGTAAAAATACAAAGATGAATAGAAGATGTAGTTCCTTTCTTCCTAGGGACTCAAAGTCTACAAAGAGTAAGCAAAACAGTTAACCCACCATCCCAACACAAGGGGAAATGTGGTAAATATAAACTATTTATATAATGACAACTAAAGGCTGGATGAGATGGGGCATGTGGGCTTTGATCTTGGGTCCAGTTCTGGCTGTAGACAGGATTGGGCACATTCAGGATGTTAAACCATTCAGTATTACCCTGGGATGTGGCTGACTGGGAATTTAGTTTCATCTGTGAAGTGTGAGTCTTTCCAGCTCATTTAATTTATGCCCAAGTGATGTTGTTCTTGTTTCTCTTCTATTTCCCTGTCCCTAGCTTTGGTCTGCCCCGAATCACACTTCTGGAAACCCCCTTTCTGGATTATTTTCCTAAAATTGACCTGTGATTACTCCTTTGTTCTCAGAAACAAAATTGCCAGGCAGCATTTGAAACCAGCCAGGACTTGTTAATCCAGAGTCAGATAATGTGACTCTGCAAATGCTGCAGACTCAGGCAGATCTCAAAAGACAAGTAACCCTGAGATTACTCCTGGTTACAAGTGAATTTTGATGTGTGGCAGGGTATGGAAGCAAATTTTGACCCTTCAACTCTTCTTTCTGCCATAACATCATTTGTCCACAGTAGAGTCTGCTGTTAGAAAATAAATCCATCCCCAGCCAGACATGAGTAGGCTGGGTTGGGGACTTTGGCTGGTGTTTATATTTGGTTAGATGCTTGTTTATATTTTAAACATTCTGTGTAAACTGTTCTTGAGGGATGTAGGGAGGGAAGGTATAGATACCAGACCTGCCAGAACTGACTAGTCCCAACATGGAGGAGAAGTTGGCCCTGACTTCATCTCTAAGTACATAATATATTCATTCGCATACTAAAAAATCACACTCCTTAGCACCATGACAGTTATGAGGAAGACCATCTCAGGGTGAAAATTGGGTGTCACCCTGTTTCTCAGAAATCCCTCCCTATTCTGAGAAAACCCCACTTAATCCAATGAATATTCCACCCCTACTTAAACTCCAGCTATAAGACTACCCAACCTGAACCCCTCCACTGTACTGTTCACCTCTGGAGCACACCTGCAATCCTTCCTTGAGTGTATATTTTGCTTTATTAAATGACTCTTTGCTTGTAAAAAGAGAGAGAGAGAAACGAAATATACCCCTTTCCTGCCTGTCCAGCAAAGTACAAAGGGTGCTTAGTATCCAGGACTAGGTTGCTATGAGGTTATATAAGGAAGTAAAAGTTGCCACAAAACTGACATATTCCATAATGAACCAGGCAATTATAAAATTGACTTCTACTCCAATATCTCTTCTGCGGGTCTGACCATTCCTTGCTGATTGCCAGGCAATGTGAAGATTCCATAATATGATGCAAATATCACATAATCTACTTGTGATGTGAGTTTACGAATCTGGCTAAAGGTGTGGGATTCTGTGAAGTTCCTGAAAGCTGTGGTGCTGAACCGTGGGAATCCGACCAAGGTGGCACCAGCAGGAGGAGGCCACTTGACAGTGGAGAAGAGTATTAACAAAGATGACAAGATGGGACTTCAGAAAAGCATGTTTTGAACAACAAAGATTAGGAGAGGACTTTAGAAAAAATTGATGGAATCTTTCTAATAGATCTGCAAAGATGAAACTCTTTATGCTATGAAAGTCAAAAGTGAATTCAAGGATTTGGGGGTCATGTCACCTGATTTGGTTGGAAAAAGTGGGCCAGAAAATGTCAGCAGAATCCATTGCTCTGTTCTAGTTATTAGGGCGGAGTTGCAGTTATAACTTAGGTTTTGCTAAATGTAAGATAAAATATATCTTACTTTCATAATTTATTTTTTTAAGATAGTGTTTAATTATATATAGTCCCCTGCTATTTAATATGAAATTTCTTGTTATTTTAAAGTGGGTTCACTTAACTGGCCTCTTCCTGGTATGATTTTCCTAGGATTGCCAGGATATCCCCTCTTCCCCCACCTGTAACTCTTGTAGAGGGGAGACTGTCCCTGGTTCTCTAATTTCAGTTAGAAGAGAATTGCCTGATCTACTTAGCATTACCTTTTTGTCCAAAAGTCTGGTCAATTTTCTGATAAAAATAAATTGGTATCCTTCTAATTTTACATCCAATTGCTTGATATATCTGCTGCAAATGTGAAATATTTTGGAAATGAGCCTGGAGGGGGTTGAGATTGGGAAGATATACCCATACAAGAACTGCTTGAGCTGGGGGCTGACATCTGGCCCAAACAATCACAATCTTGCCAGAATGCTATTAAAGGCATCCTGAGAACTTCACGGAAACCTCTAACCAGGAGAAGCTACGTAGTCATTATTCACCAATCAGACTTTTGCTATCCATGTCCCTGTGAGGGCCTGGGTCATGATGCAGGTGACTTTTGAGTTTTACTTGATCCTCAGCACTGGCCATCCAGACCTTGTCAAGAGGAGAAAGTGGAGAGGAACAGAATTTAGGATGCAGCCACAGTCTCTTGCACATTCTTAAAATATTTGGGATGCACACACCTACACACACCCCAATTATAAAGGTGGAGTGGCCCTGAAGGAAAACTACAGAACAGCCTCATTTGATGGATACGGAAGCCAAGAGGTCAAGGATAAGCCCAAGGTCCTGAGGCAAAGTCTTGCCTGGTATTCTTTTCTCTTGTGCCTTGTTGATTCCCTCGTTCTTTATTAATCAAAGTATATGTAAAATTTGCTTCAGTTTTTCTCAATAGGAAAGTACCACTTCAGTAATCATGTTCTCTTTTCTA